AATAAAATGACCGACCGCACGAACTGAGATAGCCGAATCCGGTTCCATGTGAATGGGCCCTGCGGTCGGTCCTGGCATAAGGGAATAAAATACACGAAAACCTCTAGCTATAGAGGCTAGGGAGGGTTCGCCTGAATCCCCTCGTTCGGTATTTTCTATCTACCGAACGAGGGGCCGTTCGGTAGTTTGGAACCGAACGGACCAGGGCTGTGGAGGTCTCAGCGGTGTTCGCCTACTCGAGTGTCCGATTTTAGTTCCAGACACTCGACGGCAAAACACCGCTGTTCGGGAGTTTTAAAATGGCCGCCGCCACGTGTTCGTTTGTCGAATGGCGGCCACCCCCGAGAACAAAGGACGGCTACTTACTGTTCAATTACCCGTTCGCAACAATGTTGCAACAGGTAATTGAGGACACACTTCACACAGGGGAGGTCTGGTTGTTCGGTAGTTTCATTCGAATAAACTAAGGGAATGAAACTACCGAACAATCAGAGGAATACAATTCTCTTTAATACATAGAAAACACAGCAGATACACGAATGCAGGTATATACAGTATATTTGTAGGGTCGCCTCGTGCTATCCGCTACAGACACTAATTTATTCCCATATTTTGTTGGCTTACCACCCTACTCTCTTAGTGTTTCTAAACTACCACAAATATTTATTTCCTTACATTAACACTGGTAGGGGGCTCCACTGCATATTAGCACAACTGTTATTCCATGATTCATATACAGAATTTTTAGTTATTTTTATAAGGATTAAGGTGTTCATGGGTCATCATTTTAAATTTTTCCATTAATAGCTTTATGTGCAAAACTGCTGGTGTCTAGAGAAAAGCAGTAAAATATTTATTACATTTGGTATTTCAGATATCTGAAAAATGCTTTTTAGTCTAGTCTTAGTTTTGATGTTGTTATTTTTTTTTTTTTAGGATTTGAAGGTTGAATTCCTGAATGCTAATATACAGCTTTGTGAAACTTTAATAATTTGCACATTGATATGACACTTCCTGACACAGAGTGTCAGTTCATATTAGGCTTTACAGGGTAGGATTTAAAGTATTGTCCTTAATACAGTTATATTGTCATTTTGTCATAAAGTGATTTTCACTGCAACAATCTGACTTATTAGTTTTACTTAGCTTGTTTTCGACAGCTATTAACAACTTATACATAGAAGCATAGGATGTGACGACAGATAAGAACCGTTTGGCCCATCTAGTCTGCCCAATTTTTTAAATACTTTCATTAGTGCCTGGCCTTAAATTAAGGCTAGGATAGCCTTAAAGAGATAGGAGTAAGCGCTCACTACAGCAGCAGTAAATCTGTGAGAATTCCCAAAATCTCATTGACAAAACAGATAACAACAAGCAAGGTGATAGACCGCTTATAAGTAAGATAGATACCACATATAAACCAGGATTTGACAGGACTACCTACTCTACTGAGGAAGCCCAGCTGGGTGAAACGCATAAAGTGTTGGTACTGGAAGAATTTACTTTCTCTCTCTTTATTTTTTTTATTTTTTTTATTATTATTATTATTATTATTTTTATTATCTGTCATCATCTCCTGGTGTATCCTGAATATCCTAGGTGGGGATAATACCACCAACGCTCTTCATACCAGAGCAGGCCATTGCTCTGCATATTGTAAGTAGGATACTGTTTTTTATCCTTTACTTTGTGTATATACATACTATACCATAAGACCTTTCCAGTGTGTTTTCTCATATATACTGGACCGAAAGAACTATCAAGCAAAGCTACAAATATCCATCGAAGGGGATTGTACCGTCCAGGCGCATTACAGCAGAGCTCTTAGCAGCTCTATCTATTGTGAGTTTGCACACTACATTTCTACCTCAAATAACTGTTACATATTGCACTATTGTTGTTTGTCCATTTCTGTTTCCTTCAAGGTTACAGAAACCATCCTAACTCAGGGTATGTAGATTGAATCAACTGATGTAATTATATTTTTTATGTTATATATTTCTGCTATATCTTATTGTTTTTGGGGCGCGGTCTATAACCTTGCTTATTGTTAGGATAGCCTTATGCCTATCCCACACATGCTTAAACTCCCTCACCGTGGTAACCTCTACCACTTCAGCTGGAAGGCTATTCCATGTGTCCACTACCCTCTCTGTAAAGTAATACTTCCAGAAATTATTTTTAAACCTCTGCCCCTCTAATGTCCTCTTGTTGTGGTATGTCTTCTTGTTGTGGTAGTTTTCCTTCTTTTAAATATAGTCTCCTCCTTTACTGTGTTGAATCTGTTTATGTATTTAAATGTTTCTATCCCCCTACATGTATACAGTGCTTTTCTCTTGCTTTTTCTTTTATGCCATGGGAAATAGTGAACATTCACTAATGTGTGATGGCTACTAGAGGTGCTTCCTGGGGCAGTTTTGCACAGTGAGCAGCACTGATATTCATTGTCTCCACCCTCTGCATGGATCATTTTTCTCCTTGCTCATTGAACCATTTTTTCATCTCTTCTTACCTTCTGAACCCCTTTTGAGCATTTCACCACTTTCGAATAACCTTCTTGTGTATCTCCCTTTGTAATCTCACATTAATCCGGATCTAGATAATAGTGCAGAGAGCAGGCCTTAGGCCAGTTAGCAAAATAGCCAATACCCTCTGAAGAAGTATTTTTCAATTAACCAGTCAGAGGCCGGAGTAGTGGAAGCATAGGATCATGTCTTTAATGCAATAGAGAGACTTTAATGCAAACTGGTTCTGAGAGACAGAGACTTTACATTTGTTTCATATATATTCAAGTTATCAGTGACAAATAAATGTTAGTTACATCCTCTTTCTACCTTTTCTCACAATATAATACAATATAATACATAGGGGGCGTGTCCGGCAGCCGATGGAGATGGCCGCCTAACTCTGCAGCTCCCTGTGGCACCCGCGATCAATCCCGCATTACACTAAGCCCAGCTCACCTGCATACACCATATGGATCGCACAAGGAGGCTGGCAGACCCCGGCGGCACCCCAAGACCCGCGGGACACGGAGGGGATCAATCGATCTGAGCATTCCTCCACACCGCCAGCCGCGATCAGTCCCCGTGGAGGGAAATGGAGGCCGCAAGCCTGCAGCTCGAATCCCTCCCATCCACGCCGGTGGTATTCTCCCCGGCCCCATCGCCTACCCTGGACCCACAGCAACCACAAGGGGGTGAGTGGAGAGACATTTTGCCAAACGTACTCATAAAGACTGATTTTGAAGCCCTTTCAGACAGATTGGGCCGCGTGGTCCATGAAGAGGTGGCCCAGCTTCGCGCAGATGTGGCAAACGTAGAGGACCGCATGGCAGTAGCAGAGACTGAAGCAAGGGCGCTCAGAAATGATTTGGAACTCACAAACGTGATGGTCACGAAACAAGACGCTGACCTAGCCTTCCTTACCACATGGGTTGATGATTTAGACCTGTGCGCCACGGAGTGCGGGAAGGGGGCCACTCAGAAAACATACATGCTGTCTGGAAAATTACCATCTAAAAGAAGAAATATTACGCACAGCCAGACACATGGGGACGATCCGAATGGAAGGTCAGACCGTATCTATCTACCAAGACCTTTCACGCTACACCCTGCATGCCAGGAAGGCCCTGCGGCCGGTGACGTCAGCACTGCAACAAGCCAACATACCGTACCACTGGGGATACCCGTTCTCCCTCACAGCCAGACACGGACAAGACCAACTGACAATACAGAAGCCAGATGATGTCCAAAGATTTCTCCACACCCTAGGCCTCCCGCCACAACAGGTGCCGGACTGGCTGATGAGATCATTCCTCCAACAACCACCGGCCCCCAAAAACAACCACACAGACCCAACTAGGACCAGCAAAGGCCCAGACCCCAGCACCAACGCGAATGGCACCAGGGCCAAGCGCAGAGGAGCAGTAACAGACCACAGCACCGCACAGCCGAGGCAAGGACATGGGGACTCCCATACCATTGATGAGACCTAGCTGAATCATGAGTACCATCACAGGGGACACCTTAAGAGAACCACACAAGTATGCAGAAATTGGGGAGGGAGTCGGGGGACCAAGGGCCACAAAGACACTATGCCTCAACCATAATATGCCGGGGGGGAACACGCAAGGCATGACCAGAGCTTTGCCCCTTAATGCAAGCTCAACTGGGAGGGCACCAGGACATTTGGGGAGGGGGACAGGGGAAGGAGATATGGTGAGAACGACCACATGGGGAATGCAGGACACAAGCGGACACAAAGACAGTGTAATCACGCTGCACCGAATGTAAAGACGCAACTCCGGAGGCCTCCAGGGCCATGTGTACCCACAGTGCAAACGGGAACTTAGCAGGGGGAAGGGGGAGAAGCGGGAAGGGGGAGTAGCGGGAGGGGGGTTAAGGGGCCCCTGATCAATAAGGGTTAGATGGAAGCACACGAAACGAAAGGGGTGGGAGCAAGGAGAAACAAAGGAAAACGGGAGAATACAGGGTGGGAACACTAAAGGGAGGGAAAGAGGAAGGGGGGAGGGGACCGTATTAAAAGGTTAGGGGGAGGAGGGGGAGACATGGATATACACGAAGGCAGCAATGATAATACACAGTATCCCTGTACCACGATACCCAATGCACATTGGAGGGAGGGAAGGGTAGGGAGGGATAATATATATAATAATTAAATAATAAAAAAAACACACAAAAAAACACATAAGAGCACGAGGGAACAAAAGAGCGAACACATTCCAAACTCCCGGGCGAAGGAACACAGCACGGATCGAGCTAGCGGGAGCCAGGTCACCATCTAGATGCAGAGAAGGGCGGGGGAAGGGCCACACAAATACACTAGGGACATACGAAGCCCACTTACAGGGGGATGGGAACCTGGAAAGGCACCCATAGGGATAGTTGCCACATAAAAAGCATAGCAAGCCGCGAGCACGACCAACATAAAAGGGAACATGCCAAGCCCTTTATACGGTGCCTACAGTTAAACGCGCAATGTTAGGCGCACACTTGAAACTCATACACACTGGCTCAAGCCAGCCTCCAGGCGGAGCCAGAGCAACCCAGGTCTTAGAGCATGACTGAGGCCAATAACAGACGACAACACAGTTACTACAGGTGACTAGATGACAGAGGAGCCCTCCCCCACACATCACAATCCCCCACCGCTGCCCTAGACTGTGCGGAGACGGCAGACAAACCTTAGACTAGGGACTCAAAGCTCCACCCGAACCAAACAAAGGAACCCTGCAGGCCCGATACAACCCACAAGGCACCCCATACCAAAGCGTCCCCACCTCACAAAACAGCTAGACCCAATCCATGCCGGCATCAAACACTCCAAAAAACACACGTGAGCAGATGGCAGACAAAAGAAGCAGCCCAGATACAAACCGACGCGACACGCACTCAGAACCCATAATCAATACAAACTAAGGCACAAATAGCCACTCGGGAGACAGACTAAGGACTGCGCACAGTACAAATACGTACACGTAGACCCTCTAGAAACCCAGAAGCGGACTGAGCCGTCGCAGACGGTAAGCCCGACACCCCCACAGGCATAGGACATAGGGATCCCCACCTTTCAGGGGATACACAACTCCCGGAATAGACCCAGCCCCCCTCCCAGGCCGGGCCACGCGGTCGAATACCCGGGACGACTGTCCATTACCCTACGGTAATACAGAGGCCATATAGGCGTCGTGAATAGACGCAACACCGACTGCACACACGGCAATACACCACCACGCACTCACACACTCCCCAACCGAACCACACAACAGACTCACCCACCCCTGTGGGTACACGGCTTAAACGTCAGAGAGAAGCGCACAAGACTTTTGCAAGATCTGAAACACTACAGGGCATCAATAGTGTTCCTCCAAGAAACGCACTTTCAAGAAGGAAGAGCACCAGCACTGAGGGACCGCAATTTTAGAACGGGATATTTTAGAAACAACCCGGACAGACGCAAGCTGGGAGTAGGTATCCTATTCTCCAGCAGAACCCCATACACGGAACAAGCCACTGTCAGATGCAAACAGGGCAGGTATATCTTCACCAAAGGCACGATCCTCGAACAAACCTACATGTTCGCCAATATATACGCCCCGAACACGAAACAGTTCCTCTTCCTTCGGAACGCTCTGAATACCCTGATGAAGTTCGCAGAAGGCACTATGATCGTGGGGGGAGATTTGAACCTGACTCCACACCCAGACCAAGACTCCACATCAGCGCTCGGCAAAACCCCGCATAATAGACATGCGAACAAACTCCGCCTGCTGCACCAACACCAATTGGCGGATTGCTGGAGAGCGCTAAACCCAACGACGCGGGACTATACATTCTACTCGCAGACCCACGCAACATACACAAGGCTAGACTACTTCTTAATAGCACACCACAACTTGGCCCTACTCAAGGCAGCAGACATCCTGCCAATGACGTGGTCCGACCACTGCCCGATCCGCATACGGATGACATCACCGTTATTTAAGCCCAGACAGATGTCCTGGAGACTGAACGAATCAATCCTATCGGACGTGACAGTGACTGACAAAATAGGCCAAATCATACGGGACTATTTCCAAGATAACGAAACAGAGGACGTGACACCAATGACATGCTGGGAAGCACACAAGACGGTAGTACGAGGCCAGATCATAGCAATATGCGCGAATCCCAAAAAGACAGCAGTACGGGAAATAACCAGGCTCAGTGGAGAAATTGCGACCCTGGAAGCCAGACATAAACGAACCCTAGAAACAACAATATACAGAGAGCTAACAGATAAACGTAACCAACTCACAGCGCACCTTAACAGAAAGATCCAACGCGCATACCAACAGTACAGACACATGATACACAAACACGGAGACAAGTGTGGGAGACTGCTAGCTAACCTCCTGAGGCAACGTAGGACACAACTGTATATACCAAAAATAAAAAACGCGCAGCAACAAATCCGACACCTCCCAGACCAAATAGCAGCGGAGTTCCAATGATACTACCAAGACCTTTACCACCTCCGCAAGGAAGCACAGGACAACCAGAGACTTAAAAAAAAAAAGCAGACATATGCAAGTACTTGAACTCAGCGAACATACCAGAAATAACAGAAGCAGAGAAAGAAGTACTAGAAGCACCTATAACACCCGAAGAGTTGGCATGCGCCATCAAGAAAGCTAAAACGGAGAAGGCACCGGGGCCAGATGGACTTCCCCTCCAATACTACAAGGTCTTCACGCAAGAGATTCAGCCGAAACTACTTAAAGCCCTGAATTCCATACAGGACGGAGCTGCACCAACGGCCCAGTTCACCTCGGCGAACATTACCCTGCTCCCAAAGGAGGGCAAAGACCAGCACCCATTTGAAGTCCGCGGCGTCACAGACCTTTTTCCAGACAGAACGCTTACCTTTGCACACACACTGGCGAGAGCACAAATAGTAGGATTTGCTCGATCCATCCCGCAAAAACCATCATTACTGAGAGAACCCACACAATTCGAACTACTCTGTACGCAAGAGAATGAAACCCCACGTGCCATTTCACAGATATATGCAATGCTGGTTACGGGTAGGTATCTACTGGCACCCCCTTGTATGAGAAATTGGGAGGAAGACCTAGAAGAACCCATGACAGAAGTGGACTGGGACAAAAGCATCACCCTAATACAAAAAACACCTAGCTCGGCAAGGCTGCTAGAAAACTTGTACAAAATATACACCAGATGGTACTTGACACCGACGGCGCTCCACGCCAGGAATTTGGAAACTCCAGACTCCTGTTGGAGATGTGGAAATGAGAGAGACACATTCATACACACCTGGTGGACGTGTCCACGACTCCGACCATTCTGGAACACAATTAGAGAGGTAATACATGAAGTAACGGACGAAATGCTTCCGAGTTCCCCAGCAACATTCCTCCTACATCACATGGATATGTCTATACCGACATACAGTAAATCTGTCATCCCACGGCTCTTAAACGCAGCCAAAGCGACGGTCCCAATATACTGGAAGAAGGCCACCACACCCTCCATCGCAAGATGGGTGGAAGAGGTGGAAGCAACCAGGAAATTCGAAGACGTGAAGGCAACCACCCCGAACCTTAGAGATCGCTACACCAAACGCTGGTTTCACTGGATTAGACTAACAGCCTCCGACGCTTTTCAGAACCGCATGGTGACAGAGTAGGAGGAGGAGGAGAGTATTAAGCCAAAATAAATACGGCACCAACATGAAGAGTTGGGGAACGGCGAACCGAGACGGCGACAGGGGATGGAATCACCCAACATCACCAACCCAAAAAACCCACATACACATAGGCGAAACACGACCCGTCACCACGTATAGACATATATCCAAAGGACAACTGGAGGCGAGACAATGAACAGGCCTGTCAGGGACATACACAAGTGAACACACAACACATACGAGCAGCAGCGCGACGAGTACGTGCAGAAAAAAGCCCGGCCGGAGCGCATATTCTCACGGGCACATTTAAAAAAAAAAAAAAAATGCTGAGACATCAAACTGTGCTACCTGAACCAAGGCCCACTACAAACACACGGACGGTCAAGACATAGAGCAGACGGCCACTGCAGTCAGATAGAACCAGACAGGAGTTGTGAAACCACACGATCTGAGCGCCACACACATCCACAGCCCAAACACAGACCTCTTTGATCCACCCCAAAATCCGCATGACAGAACCACAACCTCGCACACAGGCGAACCCACCTAAACGTGACAACACCACGACATACAGACAGCGATTCAGACACACAAACATGAACCACAAAGACCAGAGCACCTAAGGTCACACTGCCGCAGGAAGAGGGCCTATAACACATCAGTCCATGTCGCATACCTAGCGGCAAAATGTGCGAGACGCACCTTGATGAATGCACCCATTAACGAGCCACACTAGTAACATTCAATGAGATGATAGCTGAATACACGTTACTAACTGCCACTACTAATTGCCACTACATACCTGACAACAACGCCCTAACAATGTAGTACCAAGCAGGTTTAACGCCTTTTGTATGTCTAGCGTTGCAAGGCCTATGAATACCCAATATTTGTCATTGCTTGTTTATTTTGACTTCTATGCCTCTGCGCAGGCAACCATATATTATTCTGAGCTAACTGAAATACGTCGGCCTCACGTTGTTTGCACTTTCAATATGCACGCCTCTGCGTAGGCGACTATCTGCGTCAATAATACTATGTTCAATACCCGTGTTTATATTGATGACAATAAACATATTTAAAACAATATAATACACATACTCTTTGTTGGCACTTATCTTGCAAGGAGAATGAGGAAGGGGGAGCAAATACATCTGTTGGCCTTGGGTACAACAAGTATCAAGTGAAAATATTGCTGATTTTGTCTATTAACTCTTCTATTACCAAGCAGAAAGTTTATTCACTATATCAGTTGGATTGTAATGGTTTGCATTTTAGAGTTACTAAACTATATGGATATTTGCCATAGGGCTTCAATCTAGTCTAGTCTATCAAGTCAGCTCCAGGAACTCAGCAAGCAAGGCGAATGGAGAGAGGACGGGATAGGATGTTAATTTCCTTCCCTCACTTTGCATACTGTTTTGAGGTAACACTGAGAAATTGAACAAAGGAACATGAATATTTTTGGGACAATCCATGCTACAATGAGTGACAGGGAGGAAGGCAGGTGTTCCCCAACCTGCCCTGTAACCCTTGTCCTACTTGTCACTTGAGATGGACACATGACTCAGAGCACTCCACAGTAAGGGGCACAGCTTCCTAAAATATTTTGCTGCACTATGGCCTAACTTCAGTCACCATCTTCGAGGGCTATGAAACGAATAGTAATAAGAGCTCAATGAAAATGTAATGACCCAGCAAAGTGAGAGAAGCTACTTCTCTGGATATGTTTAATCAAAGTCTCAGGACCTACATGTTCCCTCAAAGTTTTAGCTCTCAACACAAACTCTGCTCATCTAGAACTATTATGTATACTGATACTTCTTAAGTCCATGTTTAGGAAACATGCTATATGTCAGTGGTTCCCAAACCAGTCTTCACGGCTCACAAATAATCCAGGATTTATATATTTCCCTGTTTTACTCCAATGGAGATACTGACAAAACCTGGACTGTTGGTGGGTCTTGAGGACTGGTTTGGGTTTGCTATAAGTTATTTATATTGTCATTGTTTTCATAATTTGACATGCATACAATTGCATATAACCTAGTCTATAGCCCTTTAGTGTACAACTCAAGGTCCAGAAAATGTATTCTGTTTATGTTTGTGTCCTGTTTGTTTTTGTTTCAGTGCATTTGCTTAGGTTTTAGTTTAAATGATAATATGTGCCTCCTGTGTTGTCTTAAGCAAATAGCTAAAATAGATTTTTCATGTGATTTCACTATTTTTTTTAAAAAATGCACGATTCCTGTGTCAATTCAATGTTATTTCAGCCTTGAAAAATAGTCATAAGCTATTCATCTGGCAGTTACACCTCACTGACGAGGCTAAATGTGATCACCATGGTTGCATCGTTATGGGTTACAAACAGACACACTACGTGATTTTAGCCTTTCTCAATTTTATTCTTGTTGAATAAAATTCCTCACTCACACGCTTTTTAATTTTGTCTCAAAAGGGTAAACATTCTGGTTGGAAATGTAGCTTAAGCATTGATGGTGTTCAGAGAAGAAGATAAATTACTGGCATATCTTACAATGTAGATTAAATACTAATGGATGCAATAACACATCAGTTGAGACTTAACCTCAACAAATTAATCTCATGTGAAATTAGGTTACAACATGCACTGTTGTGCTTTGATGCAGTAAAAGGATTAGCATGCTGCCATAATATTTGACTAACTCACCTGTCCCCATATATAAATATGAGAAGGATGAGGAAGGGTGCCTTCCAGTTAGTTCTCACTCAAGTCAGAAACAAGTGTTAGCTCATGTGCGCCATTCTAGTCTCTACCAAAACCATAGCAGACCGGCCGCACATAGATGGAGAATTGAGAACCGAAATGCTTACATGTCCTTACATGTGCTCCTTGCATTAGAGATACATGTACTATACTTGATTATTTTGCCCTTCTTTGGACTTCAAAAGTGAGTTGAAGCTAACACTTCTGTAACTGATACCCCTCTGTCTCTTGCGCAGAGAGGACTTGTTGGCATTGTGGAACTGGATTGCCCTTCTGGATGAAATCCATCTTATATCCAAATGGTATATGTTACTTTTGTAATGTAAACAGATGTGTTTTGTTTTGTTTGTTTTTTTAAGATCAGTACCCTTATAACTATATCTTTGAAGTTATAGTTGAACAGAGGGAGAGATATCTGTTAACTAATCAAGCCACCAGCAACAGTTCTTTTTTTATGACTAAGGCTCTGTTGGTTTCAGCTACTGGATAGCTCCACTACGTTTACTAAAATCATGCACTAACTGCATTCAACAGTCTCCACTAGAATGTCTCACCTTTTGATTGTTTTAACCTCACACTATGCTGTCAGGTGTATTCAGTGTCTTTATCATGCTTTTGGGACTTAACATTTGCTTTGCTTGAAATAAATTTACATCCATTAGTAATTGTGATTTTCTTTTTTTTTTCTGGACTTTTGCTATTGCTGCCTATATTGTACCACTTACAGATGCCTATGTAGCTATTATTTTAAACCTTTATCTGTGCTTGTCTCATAGTGGCTACCATGAATTTCCACAATTCCATTCCCTGCTTAAAGTACCGTCAGAATGAACAAAGAAACACTGTAGTGGTAACTGCACTTTAGTGGTTATGGTGCCAGATGTGCCCTTGTGCCCCCTTATTGAAAGTAGGCAAACTGTTTTAGAATGGTTTGATTTCTTACCTGGCATCCACAGGGAGCTGTTCCCTGCCTTCCCCATTAGCATAAGTGAGAGCCAGAAACTCAAGTTAGGAGTGTTAAGCCACGCAGGGCAGAGGTAGCAAATTGGCTGAGCACA